TCGAATGGGCAATTAATCGACCCTATAAATGACATCTTTAGGGCGCTTTTTGTGATAATTTGCGAAATTAAACTTCGAGTTTCGGATCTAAAAACGGTTGAGCAGCTTTGTCAATACAAATTTTCATTAGCTTTTACGAGCTGCTATGACACTGAATATTCGTGCTTTAAAAATGTCCGTTATTGGTTTTATCTGACACCTAACTGTCACAACCCATAAAAGGGAAGAAGAAAAAAATTAAGAATACATAATTCAATAAGCCTTGCTCATAAAAATAAAAGAAAACAAGGATAATGGAGGTTATTGAATTCTTCCAACATCATGGTGAAAGAAAACCCGCGCCCACAACTTTTTGTTTATAACAAGATATTCGATATTGTTTTTAACTCCATTCATCAAGATTCATTTTCTATACAAAATTCCAGCTCAGTCAATCTTCTTTAAATTTTGTTACAGCTTGACTGTAGACAATAAACCCATTGATCGCATAGAAAAAATAATAAAAAGATTTTTCATGGATCCATAATACGCCATCACCTATAGTTTATTATACTTGTTACTACTTTTCGAGTTTAAGGGGGTCAGCGAGGTTTTAAAATGCCGACGGTTGGTTGATGCAATAAACAACATCGGCAGAGAGTTAAGTAATATAAAATGTCGCTCTACAAAAACAACCATTATTGTAGACATGATTTTATACAATTTTAAAATTAATGGAATCTGGTGTTTTAATGGTGTTGTAAAACTTCTTGTGATACACGCATTCATTAGATACGGCATTTATCACAAACTCGTTGTGAAATAGTTAATGAAATGGTTTTATTTTAATTACGAATGTAAATCACGATTTGTGCTACGCACACGCTCTTTGCGGTAATTAGGACACAAATTATGAAATTAAAATTGTGAAATGGAAATTGATATTGAAACTTTTTTTTCGCTAGTGTGTTAAAAATCTGATTCTAATGGCTCCTGATTAAATACATAACCAACATTATCAAATATAAACTGTTGTTGCAAAATATGACATAAGTATTACAACATTATAAATTCCAGATTGCGACATTTAATTTGTACTATTAAAACATAATACATTTTCCTCAAAATAAAAAGATATAATCGCGAACGTAAAAAATATTTGGATAAAAAACTACACTATTAAAAATATATTATTTAGTGATCATGCACGAAAACTATCATCCGGTTCGTTTTACATTACAATGCTACATCTAGGTACTTGATTTATTTTACTTAATACTTAGGGTGGGTTGCACCATCTTACTTTAACTTTGACAAACGTCAAAAATCTGTCAAACTCCATACAAAATACACCGGTTATCGTCATAGTTACGGTCAAAGTTAGGTGGTGCAACTCAGCCTTAATGATGTAGATACAAGTAGGTAGTAGATGATTCCACATAAAGTAACTAGAGCCCCCAAAGTGAGAATTAAGTGAGCGTGGCATGACCACGCAAAAATACTTATTTCGTGCGCAGGTTTGTTCTTTGAAGGATAAATCTTTGGAAATTTGGTTGTAGAATAGGAAGAACATTTTGTATAAATAATCAAAAAAGTAAAGTCGAATTTACACACAAATATTTATTCAGTACCACGTCCCACTACGGGACAACATTTGGGCTGGTGTTGAGAAGAAGTGGCAAAAGAAATTCAGTCGCCTTTGTCAGCCACTTTTTCAATTAGCAATAGCTATTTTTTTTAATAAGTAGTGTTTTAACATAGACACGATTAAACACACATATCACATTCACATCAAATGAAAATTTTATAGGTGTTTATTACCACAAGTGGTTTAATAATCTCAGCACTAACCGACCTGATGTTATTAATGTATTGGCTTAGAAAATTCCTATTTTCATCGCGGATAGATAAACAGCTCTCCAGGGATGCGCGATAATGTATTTCTAGCAATCTGAACCAGCCAGGAATCCCTCGTGCTCAGCACAATCAAAGTGCTCCGGCGCAATCAAGCTGTGCTAAATATACCTCTTTTGCAATAAACAAGCTAGTTTTCTCTAGTGGTCTTAGAAATCATTATGATAAAAGTATTTTCTAGAAAAATAGCTTTACAGAATGTCCCAAAAAGAGTGTGCCAAAGTTAAGATTAATAGGGATGACAACTAGATAAAAATTACTTTTAAATTGATATTTGAATTGAAAATGTCATTGTCTTTTCTTTCTTACAGTTTAACAAGTCAGCTCACGAGTATGAAGGAATTCAAATATTTTCTTTTTTCTAAATAAAATAAAAAGCCTAACTGTTGTTCACGTCCTCAGTATTAGTAGGTATTGCAAAACTACAATGACACTATTTGTCTAGTCACCAGAATTTCTATGTTTAATGACTTGGACAGCATTTCTTTACATATGTTATTCGTTCAAGATTGTTAAATGGTAATATCTACAGCTTTTTTAAAACTAAGCTAGATTAAGGCACTAGTTAGTTACAATCATTAAGTTTTCCCAATGAGCTTTATGATGAGATGACACAAATAGACAAATTCCGCTGGTACGTACGTGACTCGAGTGCAGCCGTAATCTCGCCCAGCAGCCAACAATAGCGCTGGATCATACTAATCTGGGCTAAGTTTGAGCACAGCGCAGTAATAGTTGGTTTGAAGCCGGAATAGAGCACTACGTACACCTCCGTAGGAAAATAAGTTACAAATAAACTTTATTTAGTTTTTATACGAGTATGAGATAAATAGTACTATTAGAAAGATACAAAGCTTTATGTATAATGGGAATGTGCCTGAGCTTATTACTTTGGAATTAATATTGTGTTTAGCCAATCCCGGAAGTTATTTATTACGCATCTAATAATAACAATTTATCATATTTGGATACACAATAAGTAAAAGGGACTTGACTCAAATCACAGGAATTTAATCTCAATATGCGTAATTCTCTAGAGGTCCAAAGGAAAATATTGTACTTTGACTATTCATAGACTACGGAATTTACTACAATATGACTCTATTCAAATGTTGAAACTATGTTAACTCCTAACCCAGAAAAATATTGTACTTTGACTATTCATAGACTACGGAATTTACTACAATATGACTCTATTCAAATGTTAAAACTATGTTAACTCCTAACCCAGAAGATAAACTTAAAATGGCTTAGTAAACGTATTTGGTATACAAACAATGCTAATTGTGACAAAGCGAATTTACTCACTGGAAATTTAGCATAGTTACATCGAGAAATCCAGCAAAATCTAGGGGAGTGACTGGCGCCCTTCTAAAATTAGTGTCACATTGTCATAATAACTGAGAGGGTTTGTAACCCAGCACGTAGCGGGCAACAAAAGGGTCAGGAATAATGTGGGGAACCTATCGATACTTTGACCATCGACAAATCAACAGTAGTCTTATTAAATAATTTTCACGAAATCGACTTAAGGTCCGATATCTTTAGCTTGTTTTAGTTCAATAATTTTAATAAAAAGTTAGCCAAAAGGTATTTAAGAAATTACCGAGAAGAAAATCCGTGCTCTCAAATTCCGTTACTTTGTTAATACAACAGTAGAGACTTAATTGGTACTCTTCATAGTTTTTTATTCTGCTCCAGCTGTAGTTTACGTACAAGGCTTATGCTAACAATACCAGCTGCTGCTGCAGTTTATAATCTCTAAATAACTGTTAGTGATAGCTACATTGGAGCGTTTATACCGAATTTTATTATTTATGGGGCATTATGTGTTTCGTATCATTCTTGGCACAGAAAACAAATAACAACCATAAACAATCGGTAGGTACTTAATTTATATACTAAGGCTGGGTTGCACCATCTTACTTTAACTTTGACAAACGTCAAAAATCTGTCAAACTCCATACAAAAAACACCGGTTAAGTATCGTCATAGTTACGGTCAAAGTTAGGTGGTGCAACTCAGCCTTAGCAAAAGAACTTAACTGAAATTTAGTGACGCAACAACGAACACTGATTTTGGCAACGGCTATAAAATGCGTTAGATTATTTCGCACGTTTCGCTAAGTAAATTTTCTTCAAAATCAATAAATTAAATTATCGATAGATCATTTTCTCAGCACAAATCAGGACTCAGGGCTGATATAAAACGGAGCCTTAGAACGAAAACTTTGCCATTGTTGCGGAGGCATGGACGGTCGCATTGTTCAAGTTATATTAAAGTTTGAGTTTAATACTTCAAAGGCTTACTGTTAGATGTGGTCATGAGGCTATAATAACCCCACTACTTGGATGTTTCAAATTAATTTATGTCAAACTTGAAACGTGACCGGGTAAAGTTTTGTATTGAATTTTATGTGGACTTCGCGATAGTTTGGAAACTTATTCCGAGAAAAATATTTGAAGCTTTGATTTCGGGAGCTACTGAAAATTAAAGACAATTACATAAATTTTCTTTGAATGTTGAATTAAATACACGTGTGCTGACCAGTTTTAAAAGTAAATATTTAGGAAAAAAGTCTAGAAATGTGGAAACCTTGGCATACCGCTATGATTCCGTAAAAATAATATTTAAGTTACGACTAAATGAGTTGTACAAAAACTCCCATCAGTTTTTATCAAATGTTTTGTATTATTATTACAAAAATATTCAATTTTCCCAACTTACGCAATAACTTAAACATACAATACGTAAAATGTCACTTTGTGGAATTATTTTTAAAAATATTTTCGTAATTAATATTTCCGACAGATTTTACTTCATTTATTTAAATATTAAGTAATAACAATACACTAAAACTAAAAATATCTATCAACTTAACCACGAAGTTTACAAACATTGTTACAGCGTTACAACTAGTAAAATACTGGTTCACTCAGTGTGTGTCACTAGTCGATAGGAACCAGTCGTGGTGAACACAGCTATGGGAGAGTTCGGACTTGTCATCCAAGTGGTCGCTTTACTAGTTGGGGTATGCTTGGGGCAGCGGTATACTGTACAGCAAGCGTTTGAGGTTCACGAGGTAGTGCCCGATTTATTGAGCTGCCCGCCCAGAAGTATGCTGGAAGTAAGTAAACATTCGAAGAAAACATACCATTTTTTTGTGAAGAGAAAAAACAGAAATCCCTAAGTTTATTATAGATTTTTTTACATTTAGGCATTAGTAAAATACTTTAGAATTTATACCGACACTAATTTTGGTTAATCTTACCAAAGAATTTACTTAAAGAATCAAAAGGTGTTTATCTTTTGGTGAATGTAATTTTTACAGTTTTAACCAAAAACAATATACAAATGTAACCAATTGGAATTTATTGTAAGAAAAAGAAAGAAACGTTAATTTAAATTCCTATTGACAAATTATTTTATTTTGATAAGGATGACCCATCGCCCTTTGGGTGACCTTGAGCCTTCTTATGAGGCCCATAGTAAGCGACCACGTCTCAGATCCGTATACCATCACTGGCAACACGCATTGGTCAAATACTTTCGACTTAAGACACTGCGGTATTTCGGACGTGAGTATATGGCGAAGCTTCCCGAACGCTGCCCATCCGAGTTGGATTCGACGATCGATGGGCTATGCTCGGAGTTTCCCTGCGTGATCGAATCAGAAATGAGGAGATCCGCAGGAGAACCATAGTAACCGACATAGCTCGCAGAATTGCTAAAATCAAGTGGCAGTGGGCGGGGCACATAGCTCGTAGAGACGATGGCCGTTGGGGCAGGAAAGTTCTCGAGTGGCGACCACGGGCTGGAAGACGTAGCGTGGGCAGGCCTCCTACTAGGTGGACTGACGATCTGGTAAAGGTCGCGGGAAGAGCCTGGATGCAGGCAGCGCAGGACCGTTGATTGTGGAAAACCTTGGAGGAGGCCTTTGTCCAGCAGTGGACGTCATTTGGCTGAAAAGAAAGAAAGAAACAAAGAAGGATGACCATTGTTTAGACATGAGCCTGCCATCCATTTGAGTGATATTCACAGATTAATTAATACTTACCTACTTGTAGGCATTTCGAAAAAAAAATTTGAAGATAAGCAAGATTCCATAAGTTTTTATGATGTCAAATTCTTTCTCCAATCAAAATATTATTATAAGAATTCATAATATTTTGTACAACGATCTATCGAATACTAATCAATTACTTCAGAACTATTAAAATAAAAACGGAATAATACTTATTATTTTATTTTCTCATCCAGTTACACTTGTAGAAAGTGAAATTCTTTTACAGTCATTTTCTTTCATCATCATCATCATTTCAGCCACAGGACGTCGACTGCTGAATATAGGCGACCCCCAATGGTTTCCATAATGACAGGTAAACCCACGTACCGGAAAGCGCAGCGTAGGACATCCATCCACAATGTGGACCGACGACCTCATAAAGGTAGCAGGAAGATGCTGGATGCAAGCTGCTACCAACCGGTTATTTTCTTAAAAAGTGCATTTTTTATCATTAATTTAAAAAAATATAAACTTATAAGTGAATCATGTAAAATATGTATAGCAATGGAAGAAAACTTTGTAAAAAACAAGATTACTTTGATTGTCAGTCACGTTTAAGTGAAGCAGCAAATCGAACACACAGCGTTAAATAGAGCTCCGTGATTAGTTCGTATGTCACCCTGTGTGTTCACGTGCACTATGAGACCTCATAATAATGTTTGTGAATACGGGCGTTATTTTTTCTTTGGCTCTCAATTGTTATTTATTTCAGGTATGTTACCCTACTGGCTTCCGCCTCATGTTTGGAAACACAGCCTGCCCGTCGCAGCTGAAGGAAGCCCCAACTGTGATGTGGAGGGCTAACCCTTATCGCTACTACACCCTCATCGTAGCAGGTATGCAGTGGCATATTAGAACGAAATATTGAAAAAAAAAACATAAAATGAGACCATTCAGATTAAAAGTAAAGCTTCAATCACACCAACGAGTGCAGATCGCCATCGCCGGCGCGATCATAGGCCAATGACAGGTCGCGCGGAGTGTTATGGGTCTTAGCTTTAAACAAAATGAACAACGCGACGTCTACTGACAGAAAATTGATAATCCTGTTAACCCTTCACGGTAAGCTAAATAATATGCTTGTATTTCGAGTGGGTTCACCACAATAGTCGAGTGGCGACGGGGATCGAACCCGCGTTCCTCGGATCACGAGTCGGCCAAACCAACACCTTCACCATTCGGCTATCGTCGCTTTATGTTCGATACCCTAAGGCTGACTTACACCATCTTACTTCTTCTTTTCGTGTCGACAACAAACCTACACAGTGTCAGCCCAAAACTCCGCCACAAGAGTGGCGTTGTCAGTAGCACTCATCAAAACCATCTTACTGTAACTTTAACATACGTCAAAAAGCTGTCAAACTCCATAAAAAAAACACCGGTTATCGTTATAGTAGTTACAGTCAAAGTAAGATGTTGCAACTCAGCCTAAATATATCATTATTCTAGATCCCGACGCTCCCTCGCGAATAGCTCCAGAGGACCGGGAATGGTTACATTGGCTGGTCATCAACATCCCCGGGGCAAACCTGGCTGCTGGGGAGACCATCTTTGACTACTTGCAAAAAAATTGGATACTGATTACAAAATCACCCTGTATATCAATATTCTAGATCCCGACGCTCCTTCGCGAATAGCTCCAGAGGACCGGGAATGGTTGCATTGGCTGGTCATCAATATCCCCGGAGCAAACCTGGCTGCTGGGGAGACCGTCTTTGACTACCTGCCCCCCGGCCCACCACCTAAGACTGGCCTGCACAGATACGTCTTCTTGGTGTATGAACAGCCTTCGAGGATATGCTTTAATGGACCAAGGTATGTTCAGACGACTTCACGTTAAACTAAGAAACTTTGCAATAAAATATAAGTCTAATGTAATGAAATACTCTGATGACAAAGAAAGAACCGTGCGCTCACGTACGTCATTGATAAAAGTTAAACAGATTGGTACAAATAAATGTTATTTTATTAGATTTTATATAAAAAATGAAATATACCTAATAGTATTGACCTGTCCAAAGTCCACTCAATTAGTCTATTTAAAATAAGTTAATGTATCTTTATTCTTTAATAGTTTAGTATCCTGCTTATGGTCTTAGAGTTTCTAATTGTTTAGATAAGACTCAATAACTTAATTATTTTCACAGAGAATTCAAGAATCGTGGCAAATTTTCTGCCGAGCAGTTTGCAGCGCAGAATGGACTGGGCATTGCTTACGCGGGCAACTTCTTCTTGACCCAGAACGAGTCAAACCCGTGAGATTTGGAGGGGCAAGTTGTGGTTACAGATATAATAAACGTTTACATAAAACTACTGACTATACAAGTTTGTCTGCATTCCGCTAGTACCTTCGTAATTATTATAATAGTACAAATGATGGTTTAGGATTTTATTCCGAGAAATATCCAAGCACAGGATCTTTCAATAATGACCCCATGGTGAACCAATCCCGATGCCCGTTGGCAGTACGAGTAAACATTCGATTGTGATTAGAGATTTTAATTGCATTAACTACATCCCCATTTACGTAACAATACAATAGATTTATGCGACTTTATGGAAACCTAGTTTATGCGACTTTAGACCCAGGAACTCCTTTGCATATTTTGAAGAACGGTAATTAATAAATGTTCATAGAAACAGGTAAGACGTCATATAGTACACGTAATGTATGAATATAGAATGTCCTACATCATACACATTACATAGACAGCTCTCCAGTGCAGTTTCACGCTGTGATAGGCAAATACTAAGAACCTCGTTACGGAACTATCTCGAGTATATGAACAAGTTAGGGCACTCAACCTTGAGTTAATAAGGGTATGAAATTCAGGTACATTAAGTGCAGTAAGCACTAATGCATTAAAGAATTGAGTATTGATTATCTATTTGTAAATGTAATAGAATTAAGTAGTTAGGGCAGAAATGTTGATGAATGGCAACCACGGGCTGGAAGATGTAGTATGGGCAGGTCTCCCATTAGGTAGACCGACGATCATGTCAGGTTGCGGGAAGTATCTGGATGCGGGCAGCGCAGGACCAATCGTGGTGGAATTTCTTGGAGGAGCCATTTGCCCAGTAGTGAATGTTATTTGGCTGAAACAAACGAACGAAGGTAGCTAGTTCATCCTTGTAGTCATAAAAATCTAAGAACACCTTTTGAGTTCACTGGTCCTTTTTTCTAACACTACCAAGTCACTGTGCCCATATGAAATAGTTCCCTTTACTGCTTCCCTTCGAGACTTGAGTAACCCTCGAGAGCTCAGCCATGCAGGTAGGTACAGTCAAGAACTCATGGCGTCACCCAGGCATATATTGGAGGACCGTAAAAGAAACGAAAGATCTTTGACGCTTTCATGGGGTGTAATGTGAAGGACTAACTTATTTCCAGTGACGATAATGAGTATAGGTAGACCGTTTTAGTTTTTAGTCAATATAAGATTGATCTTTACTTTTGTTTAAAACAGTATCGCAAAAAATTAATCAAAATGGTACTGTGCTAAGCATGGACCTATAAAAAAAGGCGGACGGAACTCGCGCTACAACAAAACTGTGACGCAAAATTTTGGCGTTTGTCTATTGTGTGAGTGAATTTAGGGATGCCATGTTAGCCAAAACATTTTTCCCATTTATTTTAAGAAAAACATAGATCGGCAGATGTTACTTGGAAATGTAGACAGAATTATTCCGTGCCATTTTAAAAGGATGAAAGGTGAATGCGTTGAGGTAGGCGCGAAATTTTCAATGTTCAAATTTTCTTACATTGTTTGCAAGTCAGTGTGTCAGGGTATGTAGTTATGTACATAATGTTGATCAAAAATGATTCACGCAGTTACAAATTACGAATCTTGTGTACATTATAATCATGATCTTATGCATCATCAATATATTATTATTATCTCTGATAGATTTTTTTTAACATACAACCTGACACTGACTTGAAATCAATGTAAGAAAATTTGAATTTTGCAGTTCCACATTTTTGGGAAGGATCAAATTTGCCTATGAAAATATATCCCATTAAAACACAATTATTATGATAAATTATTTTATTTCCATAGTATGCGTAATAAATAACTAAAAAGTCCTAAAATTATTATTAATTTCCCATATTTCGGGTAATTTTCCCACGTAAATAACTGAGAACACTGGTCTTTGACGTATTATTTTTTCGAGTGAATGACGTTTGATTTCAATTAATTTCAATATTTTAATGTCGGGAAATAAGTGATTGGATTATTATTTTGCCTGTGAAATGTGATTCCTTAATTTTTGTTTGTTCGAACAGAACGGTTTTTACACAATTTCATCACACAAGACATGTCGTATTCGTGTTGTTTTTTCGCTGCTTAAATGTGTCAACTGTGTGAAGTTTGCACTCGAAGTGGTGTATCAGGGTGTGAATGTGTGCGTGCCGGCCTGTACGTACAGGCAAGCTGGTGTATCCTAACGTCACAGTATTTTGTTGATGAGAATCCGTCCGACTTTTTTTATAGGTCCATGTGTGCTAAGTTAAATTTAATAGATATATGTTTTATTTCATAGGTGTTTTAGAGAAGACAACAATGCTTCGATATTAGTACTAATCGGTGTAGTATGGCAATAAATAGAGTCCAATTTAAAACCGAATAATGGTCGCTGAACATTGACCCATAATTGAACCTTTACAATGTATGATGACGAGCTTAACCTTGGCCTTAGTACGAGTGTTTATTTTGTCATTTAGCCATTTATAAATTTAATTACAATACAATGTGCAGATTACGATTTACCTATAATCTGATCTGATCGTCATTTTATTCCACGTTCTATTTTTTAAAATAAATATATTTTTATTTCTCATGGCGAAATAGCTCATGTTTCCTCAGTAAGTAATGATAAGTAGTCCTCGAGAGCAGCCATGCAGTGATGGCCGAGACTCGAGTGCGCTCGGAGCGTCGACTCGCGACTTCTTAAAACGAAGAACCTCATTATAATATTTCTTGAGCACTTTTAGTTGGACGATTGTCGTTTGTAGCGTATACAAAACAAATAGAAAACAATACGTGGCTTAGAAATAATGATCAAATCTTTGTCTGATAGAATGCAGCCATATTTTTTCAATTTGACAATTGATTGAAGTATGAGTGCGTATTTTCACTGGTCTCTCTGGCCGTCTTTTGTTTTTTACACTGGCACGAAAAAATACTGGGTGAAATCAAATACTGATTTTGATTTGAAATCTGAAAGATTTGTCCTATACAGAATTATTTTTTCTGTAGATGCTAAAAGAAAAAGGATTGATTGTGCCAATCTTATAGGTATATTATACCTTGGTACTTTAATCATTTACCCTACTTTTGTCTTGGGAAACAATTGATATAACTATGTTTCAGTTACCTACATGTTTTCCATTCAATGTACCAACTCACCTCGTTCCTCTCACCAAAGAACGCGTCACAAACAAGACGGTGTTGTGGAAAAGTTTTCCATGCGCCATTTGTTACTTACGATTGAAAAGAGACAGCAACAATAAATCCTGGGAAAGGCATAGTTTCTAGACGAGAATAACAATATAGTAATATTTTATGATGCCGTGTTCATAGAGCAGTTTAAAGTTGATAACTTACGTAGACGCTGCTTTGGTGAACACAATAACAGGAGAAAATATAGAAAAACAATCTCTTCAAGGGAAATGTTGTAAAAATAGATTTATTTAATAGCGGCCGCCCGCGACTTCGTACGCGTGGATCCCGTTTTACCCCCTTCATCTATCTTACGCGGTTTAGTTTTTTTCATACAAATGTTTTTTCCCGCTAGCTCCCGTTCCCGTGGGAATTTTGCAATATAACTAAGCTTTAAGTTTACTAAGATACCTGCATGCCAAATTATACAAAAGGATTTTTCCGCTAATTGCCGTTCCCGTGGGAATTTTGCAATATCCTGTTGTAACTAAGCTTTAAATTTACTAAGATACCTGCATGCGAAATATCAAGCGTCTAACTTAAGCGGTTTAGATTTTCATACAAAAGAGATTTTCATACAAAAGGATTTCCCGCTAATTCACGTTCCCGTGGGAATTCCTAAGTATACTATATAATATATAACCTGCCCAGGAGTACGAAGAATAATTGTACCAAGTTTCGTTAAAATCCGTCGAGTAGTTTTTGTTTCTATAAGAAAAATACAGACGGACAGACAGACAGACAGACAGACAAACAAACATTTTACTGATTGCATTTTTGGCATCAGTATCGATCACTAATCACCCCCGATAGTTATTTTGAAAATATATTTCGTGTACAGAATTGATCTCTCTACAGATTTATTATGAAGTAGGTATAGATAACGCTTTCAGTTTTATTCCTACCATACATTTGGTGTCAAAATCGAATATAAACAAAAGTAATTTACTAAAATAACCTAAAATGGGCAATTAGTAGTCTCTGTTTCAAAGTTCATTATGATTTACTCCACATTATTGTATACAATATTAAATTTCCCATTATGAGTGTAATGCAAATTCCAATTTAAATTAAAACAAAGTGTTATTGCCATTGACCTTTTCGAAACTGATATCTATTGGGCAAATTCGCGGGCCAAAGCTAGTAAACCAATGTAACAATAATTATTAGGGAAACGGTGTTTGCCTAACTGGACATCAAAACACAATTTGCCATTACACGATTTTCCTTTTCCTCATTATATTGAATAAACAGAGCGGACCATATGAGCTCTTCCAGTAAGTAGGAAGGCTATATTTTCATAGGCCGGATGTTACATTAAAATATTTGCTTAGCTGAAATGGAAAAACGAAATTCTTCGTAAAACTGTATTATGAACAAAAACATTAAGGCTGTCTGCACATTATTAGGATCCTACTTTTTGCGAGGCCTCTGCCGTTACAATCGTGTATTTTCAACCGACTTCAAAAAAAGGAGGAGGTTCTCAATTCGACCCGTATGTTTTTAGCCTTAAAAGGTTTTGCTCTTCATCACAGAATATGATTGGTTAAAGTAGTCATAATGTCATTACTTCGCAGAATTTGATCAAAAGCGGCACTATTGACTGGTATAATAATACAGGGTGTGCTATTTTTACATTATCTGTGGGTTGTTGGAAAGCTCATTTCGAAGCCTTGGTTACCACAATTTACTTTTTTTTTTTCAAATGATTCAGGTTTAATAAATCAAATCCACTTGGCTTTCAAAATATTTTGTTTACTCTATAGTTGTTCGTATTGTGCAAATTACTCACATGATAAATATTTCTTTTTTTATGCAAGACAAGGCAGGTATTTGACCGCAATCGCACCTGATGTTAAGTGAGATGCAGTCTAGGATGGTAAATATCTGCCCTGTAAGTGCCTATAAACTCTCGCCTTGAAAAGGCCCGGATTATAGTGTTGAGGAAAGACAACAGCAGGCAGCGAATTCCAGTCCTTAGCTGTATTAGGGTATTTATGTACATTAAGGGATTCTTTGACAAAAGAATAGAAAGTAGAATGAATTCAACGACTGAAATACAAGATTTTGTTTTAACTTATATTTTATTTAAAAATTCAGTTGCAAGCAGGTTGGATTGGAACATATTTTCTATTCTCACAGCTTACACTCATAGTTATCTAACTGTACCTGTAACATCTACACACGTAGGCAGTGTGAAGGAAATCTCAAATTGTACACGTAGTCGAATTTACTGTGTGACTATGGCCAATAAAAAAGGTGTTTCATCTTTATACCATCGGTACCTGCGAGCCCCGTTACCATCACGCAGCATAATAAACATTATGGAAATCATTTTTAGAGGCCATAAAACTCAAACAGATCGGGAATATCCGAAACCCACCCAACCATCATTGATACGTAATCGCGCATAATATTTGGCATTTTCACGAAATTTGCATCATCATTTTGCGTCAAATGTCGAATACGATTCCCCTAGCAGACACGAGAGTCTATTTCCATTTTGAAATGTCGGCTGGAAGCTAAAGCTCAAGTGTTCCGTCAGAATAATATTTGAATATTTTAACAGCAAGGCGGCGTGATAAAATAAAATATGAATTTTTATTTCTGTCGAAATTAAATCAGGCATAATTTTTTTAATACTGTTACACG